CAGGGTGGGATCTTATCTCAGTCATTAGCCACACTCTCTTTGAGGCTCCAGGCCAATTGGCAGAACCTCGTTTTCAAGCTCTGTGTAGACGATACTGATAGGCCAACTTCAGTATGACATGTTTCGTCAGTCTTTGTCAGGGGTGGGATTCACATTTTTTAACAACTGGTTCTGTGGGCATGGCTAGCAGTGGTGGTATTCAAAAAATGTTACTAGTTCTTTTACTGATTCTGTGGGTGTGGCTTGGTGGGTGTGGCAGTGGAAGGATACTGTAAAATCTCCAGTCAGAGGTGGTATTTGTTGGTTTTCCGAATTACTCAAAATTTCCACTACCGGTTCTTCAGAACTGGTCAGAACCTGCTGAATACCACTTCTGGTGGCTAGGTGGGCGTGGCTTCTCTCTTTTTCTTTTTTTTTGTTGCAGCACACCCCTGCCCTATTTTTTGCCTTCTGGCCTCAGGGATGGCTCCCGGTGGGTGTTTTTGTTCCAGAAGGCTACTCTGGGACCCAGGAAGGAAAAAAATGGAGCCTAGGGGGGCGCACAGCACCCCCCCAAGCTCCATTTATGGGCCTTCTGGGCCTCAGGGAAGCCTCCTGGGTGAAGCAGTAAGACAGTGAGGGGGATCCCGGCAAAGCTGATCATCGGAACAGCTGATTGTCAGGAGAGGGGAAGAAGAAATACCTTAAGGAGTGACTGGGTGGGGAGAATGCAGTAATGTTGCACATGCGCAATAAGGACTGACTGGGAGGGGTGGGGAGGGGTGGGCAGAGAGGAGCGGGGCCAGCCAGGGGCACAATTTGCCGGTTCTCCAAACTGCACAGAATCATAACAACCAGTTCTATAGAACCGGTCCAAACCAGTACAATCCCACCCCTGGTCTTCATGTCTCTCAAAAATTTCAGAGTATCATTCAGAAGTTATTTTGGAGCATCCTTTTTGCATAGACCAGAGATAATCAAGAATTTTTGCATGAAGTTTGAGAAAGGAGAACTCCTTTTTCCAGAACTCCTTTTATACTCTTAATACCAGGGTATAGAAAAGGTGCGGCACAGTGCCATACCTTTTTAGCAGTTAAGATGCTGGGTTTGTTGGCTAGAATGTTGGCAGCCCAGGTTTGAGACCTGAGCTCCACACGATGAGGGGAGCTCCCATCCTCACTCCAGCTCCTGCCAACTTAGCAGCTCAAAAGCATATAAGTATGATAAGCATAGGTACCACTTTGCTGGAAAGGTAACAGTACTCCATGATGCCATGCTGGTCACAGGACTACAGAAATGTATTCAGACAGCACTGGCTCAATGGCCTTGAAACAGAGCTGAGCACTGTCCCTATAGTCGTAGCAGAGTAAAATCCGCAGGGACTCCATTACATTTTCATCAGGGTATTGGCCAGCAGCTTGGCAGGTGAATAACCTCAAATTAGTAGAAAAGCTATATCAATTCCAGTCTCTAATGGAAATATTATATTTTAAAACCCAAGTATTAAGATTTTATGCTAGCAGGGTGGAAGGCAGCAATTCCTAAGAATTAAAACACGATGTTATAAATATATTATAAATATGTAAGACCATCAAGTAACCTATCTCAAATATTCATTACTTTGAGAAAGTGTGTTAAAAAGGTAGAATGCAAACATGTGAGAATCTGTATCAATCTGTGACATCTTGGGGCCATAATGGCTGTTCAATTGTTGTATAGAAGGCTTCATTCGTGTCTTCAGTAACGATACTAGTTTAAATGAACCGTAAGGCTAGCTGAGAAGTTAGACTACAAGGTAAGTATCTGGAGACTAGTGAGTAACTACCAAACCTGAGTGTGAAGCCTTACATAAGTAGAAGGAATTGTTGGTTTCTGGTAAAGAGAAATCACAGTTTGTTTGGAATCTATATACTTGCAAGCCACAATCTAGATACTTTATCACCTGTTCAAAATCAATAGACGGACATTGCAAAGGAACTGGAACTAGAATGTTTGAGGGGGTCTCTTCAGTTTTTGTTTAATATAGGGCTAAGGAAATAAATCTGGAATAATCACATATGCAACATTTTTGTGCAGGTTCTATGATAAGGAGAGTATTAATTCAATTCCTCTAAAAATTAACATCCTGGGGGCACAAATCTTCTATTTGTACAGATAGTAGAAATGCCCATATTCTTAAAAAAAAAAAGCAAAACAGAATATTTGTGCCACTTTAGAGTCAACACTTACCCCGGTGCTAATTTTCTCTCACATACACAAACATACAGCTGTGAAAACACATGTGTAACATCTATTATACAAGGAATGATCTGTGTGATTTTCCATTTGTGAAGGCAGTTTTGAAGAGTTCTTTCATAGCAAATCTAGTGGTAAAATATACTATAATTCCCCTCCCCCGAAAGATTTTATAGTTCGAGAAGATTAGATCATTCTTCAAAAAGAAAAAGAAAACTATTAATCTATGAACATCCAACCTGTTCTCTCTCTTGAGGTTGTAGCTACCAAGATAATTTAAAAACAGGCAAAGGAAATGGGAAACATATTTTAATTGGTTTTCATTCAAGGTGAAAGTAGTTTCACTATTTTGCAAATGTTTAGTTTATGCATTACAGTCAGCTAATCTTCAAAAACCAACTGTATGTTTAATTTTTTTAAAAAAAATTATAGTGGTTTTATTAAAAAATTACAATTACAAGGATAAACTAATGCAAATTTAAAAAGAAAACTAGAAAATAAAAAATAACAATATAGTAAAGAAATATATATGTGTATATGAGTGTGTGTTTATATGTGTGCACGTACACACACACACACACACACACACACACACACACACATATATATATATATATATATATACACACAAATACGTATATACACACTTACATATATATATACTCACATACAAACATACACACACACACACACAAAGAAAATTGTGTGTGTGTGTGTGTGTGTGTGTGTGTTACAACTGACCCTTCAGCATTATTGCTGGACATATGCATATGCTGAATGACATCATGAATACAGTAAGGCATTAATTCTAAACGTGCTAATAAAGGGAACAGAGCTCTTTCTCATACATGACACATGGTTACAGATTCTGATGTGTACACATACAATAGGAAAGTGTGTGTGTGTGTTTGTGTGTGTGTGTGTGTGTGATCTATCTGACTTCAGGCTCATCATTAGTATAACTAGTCCTTAATTAACAACAGTTCATTTGAATGATGGTTCAAAGTCACAAGTCAAAATTGGAAAAAAATATTTACAACCTGTAAATAGACTTAACAGCCATTGCACAACCCTCCACAGTCAACTGATCACAATTCAGACACTTGGCAACCAGCTCACGTTGCAGCATCCTGCAGTCACATGATTTTGTGACTTTTCCAGCCAGTGTCCAACACGCAACATCAATTAGGGAAGCCAGATTGACTTAAAATCTCCATGGTTCGCCCAATGACTACAATAAAAATAGTCATAAAATGGGATCCAGTCACATGATGATTCTCTTAACAACCACATGACTTAGTGACTGAAATGACAATCCCAAAGGTGGTCGTAAGTCAAGAACCTGGACTCTGTTATCCTAATAGAGTGACATTTTATATATACCTGTGGCAAAAATTCATACCACAAGTCATTTTTTCAGATGCTATTTCTTTCTTAGTGTCCCCATTTTTCCATAGGTTGCTTATATAGCAGCCTTTTAATTATTGTGTCTTATGTGTGCACCTGCTTAATTTTAAATGTTCCAATCTAGTGGTCTTAAGATTGTTGCAGGTGGGAATGGATTTAAATTTGTGTAAGTGGTTATGTAACATTTTCTTTGCAATCTGCTTTGATATCATGTTAGAGAACGGCAATTAGAGAAAGGACGATATTTTTCCAAATCTCACCCCCTTCAGCCATTTTTCGATGCATATCTATGCTGCTCTGAACAATCATATAATATTTATTTTGAAATGTTCATTATTTCATATCTGCAGATGTGTGCAGCTATGCATGCAATTTCTAGGCTTAAAACAAATGCCAACTTGAAATAGCAGCATGATTTCCTGTTTCTTTTGTAATTTCAGTTTCTATCCTATGGTTTATGGCATATGCTTTCAGTAAAAACTCTAATGATAAAAAAAACAGGTGATCCTTCCAACATAGCTTAATTTTTCCACAGTTCCAACGCTGTATATTGATTGGTGCATGACGTCCAATTTCATTATAGCAAAGTACTGTACATTTAATAACTTGAATCCACAGAGGAATGAATGTGTATATACATGTGTATCCATAGATAGATAGATAGATAGATAGATAGATAGATAGATAGATAGATAGATAGATAGATAGACGGACAGACAGATAAGATAGGATAGGATAGGATAGGATAGGATAGGATAGGATAGGATAGACAGACAGACAAGATGGTAGATTGGTAGGTTGCTAGGTTGGTAGATTGATAGCATTTGAACTCTAAAAGATAGCATGGCTGTACTTCAGAAGCAAAAGGGTTCCTGTCTTCCTGGATCCTGTAATCAAGTAATTCTGTGGTAGATTACTCAGTTCCAGTAGTGCCCTCTTATTTATTTTCAGTGGTGAAAAAATAAAAGCCAATACAAAACCAAAAAGTTTGCTTACTGGAATGCCTGGAAAAAAACTAATTTGTATTTCTTTCAGAAATTGGAACAATAAGTCAGTACCAAGTCAGTCAAAGAGAGAGATAGGAGTCACTTTTATCTGAACCTGGAAAGCAGTGAAAGCCAACAGCTTCCTAAAGGAACAACCCAAATTCAGCATTCCACAGTGGATTGTAATGCAATATGACATGACTGTATATTCTCTGCTGTAAACTTTTAAATCAGGTATATCTTCCTAGGTTAGTTATTACAAGGAAAAGTTTGAGAGCTCGTGCAGGGATGAACAGGAAAGTGCAAACACTTTTAACGGTGTAACTTAGAACCTTTTATCCTTGATACAATATATATCCAGTGCTAAATCCACTTTTTTCCCCCTCCATCCAGAGCTATCACGCTGGAGAACACACTGGTGATCTTGTCAACGGTGGCCCCTGATGCTGGAAGGTACTATGTGCAAGCTGTAAATGACAAGAATGGAGACAATAAAACCAGCCAGCCCATCATGCTCACTGTGGAGAGTAAGTGCTCTTTGGGGTGAAAAGTGGGGAAAAGGGCTTTTGGATTCCATCTGACCGATTTTCTGAAAAGCTTCATCTGTCTTTTTAGCAGCAGTCTGGTAGATATCAATTCAGTTGATGCAGGAGAAAAATCTTGTACCTGCTCCATGTGTGCCAGTGCTTTTTTACAACAAACTACAACATCAAGCTATTTATCAACATCTACTGTGGAATAAATATAACAGTGTTATTGTTATCGCCATAAACACCAGCACCATTCATCCCAGCTAGGCCCATATTATTTTAATTTTCTATATGAAGCAGCTAGTAGGTCATGCTTGGGCTCATTCAAGTGGAGCTAGGACTTTAATTTACTTTAGCATCCACTGAATTCTCTCTGAATCTGCTTATAGAGAAATACCACTTTTCCAGACCTAGGGACAGCTGAGTGATCAAGATATCAGCCTCTGAGTATTGTAGATGGAAGGTTCTGTTCTTCCCAGAAACAATCAGAGAATTGGATAGTTCTGCACCTCGTAGAGACAACATTTGTGTACACAACATAGGCTACAAAGGAATTGGTAACCTTGAGTGGTGCTTTGGCCATCTTTTAAGTCAGGGGTATCAAATTCAAGGCCCACTGGGCCACCCTGGAAACAGTAAAGGACTGGCCCACGGTGCCTCTGCCAGGGAAAATGGAGCTCAGGAGGGCTCAGGAGGGCACCCCTCCCGAGCTCCATTTTCCCTGGCAGAGGGTTGCAGGAAATTGTCGCAGCCAAAAACAGAGATCAGGAGCCCGTTTTCACTGTCAGAGCGCTCAGGCCACCACAGGCACCCCCGACATGAGTGATGTTAAGCTGGCCATGCCCACTTTGGCCCCCTGAGGTCAAACACAACCCTGATGCAGCCTTCAATGAAGTCAAGTTTGACACCCTGTTTTAAGTGATCCTGGTGAAAACTGTGTTACAGAAGAGAATGGCTGGAGATGGCTTTGTCTTCTTCCCCAACACAGTCAGCTCCCAACAGCTGGCCAAACAATTATTTGAGGAGCTGTCAGAGAAGAAACCTTAGGCAGAGTCTTTCCTCCACATGTTGTTTTTTAATACTGTCTTAGGACAAGAAGATGGGCAGAGTGTGTTGGATAGCAAGAGAAGTCAGAGCATCAAAGGGGTCGTTGCACTGACAATAAATCATAAAAGCAAATATGAGGTCTGTGCATGATTGATGGACTATATGTTGCTGGGACATGTCCTAGAATTTTGAGACACTGCCTGCATTTGACGATGCAATTGTTTGTTGTCATTGTGCTTTCTGCAAGAAATGAAAATGGGTATAAGATTGCAGCCTGAATCTCTTGTCACTTTAAGGATCCGGAAGGGCTGTCTGAATAAATGCTGTTTCAAGAGGCTAGCACAGTTCAAATTACTTTAAACCTAAGTGCTGCAGCTAAGTGGGAGGAGGGCTGAAGTTTATGGCTTGCTTATTTTCTGGTGAACCAATGGTCCCTAAAGCTCAGTTTTGTCGCCATTGTCTCTTTGCACCTGGCTTCTCTGATGCTTCTGCTGGCTCGGGCCCAGATTTAATTTGCAGTAAATCTCAGGCAAAGCGGCTGGTGCTGACTAAACATTTCTACGGGCTCTGAATTTATTTAGACACTTTGGGCCATAAGTATGAGAGCTAGGAGGCTTTCATTACATCACCAGCTTAGGCCCTCATTCCTATCCCTGCATCGGCTCTTTTGGGAGCAGAGTGCTTGGCTGCAGAACTGAGCCTGGGAATCTGCATGGCTATAGCCTCTGTACAGTCTCTAAAGGGAATTCTCCCAGGACATGTGAATCCTCTTTCCCTCTGGATGATGTTTATTTCACAGCTGTTTTATGTCTCCCAGATTTGGCTTTATATCCCTTTCCCCCTCTTTGCCCCATTAATTTGAAGAGCTGTACCTCAGAGTGCAATAAACACCATAGTGCATGCCTTTATGGATTCGCTATATCAGCAACTTGCAATTGTAGTCAAGAACTGGAGGAGCAGGGGGGAGTTACCACAGCAATTATTTTATTTTATGCACTTACCCTGTTGCAGCTTCCCTTGCTGCTGCTTTCTCTCTTCCCCTCCTTTCCTTTCCAATGCCAATTGCCGATGCCCAGCTACAGATCACAGCAGGTGGCAAGATTTAGCAGAAGGTTATGGGGAAGGTAGGTATGGAATCTTAATATTGTTTTCAAAGATTTCAGCTCTCCAAGCTGCATGGTGGAAGCTAAAGCCCAGCCCTGTAAGGCCCCCTCAGCTTGCTGACTTTGATGGGAGAGCTTGCCTGTGCTCCGTCACTATGTGAATGAGCAAACCAGTCTCCAACAAAGTCTGGTGCCTTCTCCCTCCCCCTCCTGGAAGTGCCACTCTCACTCACACTTTTCAGGTGTTTGATGTGACTCAAAAACTGCATGCAGAAAACCGTCGGCACCCTTCAACGGCACTTGAAACGCGAGAAGTCAGACCGCCTTCTGCAGCACGCTTTCTGCTTCTTTGCCATTTTATTTCTTCTGAATGGGAGTTTTAAGAAGGGAAATACAGTCTCTCGGTTCACTGTCGGGAAGGAAAAGTCAGTACAGTGGAGCAAAACAGGAGAAGAAAAGAGAAAAATCAGAGATAATTGGGTAAATGAGATACAGGCTGTGCAACTGGTGTTTCTTGTCTCTACTAAGTGTACATTGCTAAAGAAGCCTGGTGGGTGAACAGTCTTGAACCAGGTAAGTATCATCTAAGAAAGAAGGTTGGGCCAAAAGAGAGAAATAAATAATAATCAGGTAGAACGAGATAGGCTTCTTAAGCAGCACGGTTTAATCTGCAGTGATTTCTTTTGCACAGTCAAACCACAATCCTGCTTCAATCAGCCTTAAACAAAAAGCTTGGTGAGACATTACTTCCCTTCTCTCCTGTGAGATTTCACCTGTCATTTCTTACATACCTCCCAATCGATCTTTCCAAATGCATTCCCACTTGATATCCCCCCAATCTGTTGTAGCAAGTGCCGTGGTGGCGCAGTGGTTAGAATATAGTATTGCAGTTCGATTCTCACCAGCTCAAGGTTGACTTAGCCTTCCATCTTTCCGAGGTCGGTAAAGTCAGGACCCAGATTGTTGAGGTCAATATGTTGACTCTGTAAACTTAGAAAGGGCTGAAAAGCACTGTGAAGCGGTATATAAATCTTAAGTGCTATTGCTAGCTACAACCTCTGGAATTCAAGTTGTGGGAACTTGGGAGAAGTTCAATTAGAATAGAATTGCAACCAATAATAGTATCGATTTTCTGAGCTCCCATCTAACCAAGGCACAGGTACATACTTGGACTTTTGATGGGTAAATCTTGGATGCATCAGACACTCCTGCAAGATGGCTGCAAGAATATTTTGGACAGACAAAGCTTGTAGGAGGACTAGTTGATGGTGCTACATGTCACACAGAAAAGAAGAATATTCTTTTCTGGAAAGAAGAATATTTGGAATATACAGGAGTGGTGCGGCATGGTGCCAAATCTGGAAACCTTATAGGTAGACTAGCTATGTGAGATGGAAATGTTCAGGAGGAGTGGTAAAGCTTTTCTATTATATTCCAAAATGTGAATTAAGAAGTATATATAATGAGCATTTATCATATATAAACAGTGAATATTTCTGTGTAACAAATGAACTGCTAACTGGTATACCGTTCCATTTTTTTTACAGATGTAGGCGGCCCAGCTGACCCCATTGCTCCAACCATCATCATTCCACCATGCAACACTAGCGTAATCTCTGGTACTTCTGAAGTGACTCTGGAGTGTGTGGCCAATGCTAGGTAAGTCTGCCTGGCTCCTTTGCTCTGTGACTTGTGACTCCAAATTACAATGAGGGTCACCTCTGTATGCCCCATGTGCCATGGCATGAAAACAGCCCGTTAATTTCTTCTCAAGGACGTGAATGCCCGTCCTCAATGTTCTCCCAGCCCACTGCAAATTCAGTCTCCGCTCACCTTTTATTTCTCCACTCCAAAAAAAGATGTTTTCCAACTTCTGCCAGCAATATTGTACCAAGGAGTCATTCTGTAATAAATCATCCCAAGGTAAATTTGGGGATGGAGGCCCATCTTGCCCCAGTTGGCCCCAGGAGGCTATTGTTGGCCTACACTCCACATGATGGCAGGACAAAGACTTTTATGGCCATTGGTGAGAGTCGGGGTTTCTCATTGTGCCAAAAGGTTTCTCTCCCACTTTTCTTACCAACCCATCGAAAGGGGTCCGTCCTCACAAGCTTCTCTCTGCTAACTAGGCCTCTCATTAAACTACACATCATCTGGAAGAAGGGAGGGATCCCAGTATCCAGTGGCATCAGTGACTACAACCGGCGGTTGACCATCCTTAATCCCTCCCTAAGCGACAGTGGCTACTATGAGTGTGAAGCTGTGTTGCGCAGTAGCAGCGTACCTTCTGTGGTTCGAGGAGCTTATCTCTCTGTGCTGGGTAAGAAGAAGAATCTTTGCTGAGTTTCTGTGCCTAAAGGGGCTACTCGCCAATTGGGCAACCACATCAGGTTCAGCTGTTGCTGTGGTCCTTTGTTTTAGCCTTGCAATCATCAGCCGCTCAAAGCATTTCCCTAACCACCGAGTGCCGCTTTTCCATCTATGATGTGACATTAGTCATTCCTTAAAGACATACCCCTGTTCAGAATCAATGTCAAGGGACCATCCTGTTTTTATCACCCTACATTATCCTATGTCTGATAACATGTCAGACTTTGCATTTCCAATTATTTAAAATGATGGTTTGACATATAGGACATTGCATTTGGATAGTGAAAAATCAGGACAGGATGCATCAGTTTTGCTACCTTTGCAGATATGAGCCTAAAGACTCACTGGCATCATGTCCACCTGGTCACTCTGAGCATAATTCTTTACTTCCCTCTAACTTTAGCTTGACGTGATGCAGTTGTCTTTTTATCCCCATTTTAGAGCCAAGAACAAGCTACCTTTGGGTTTTTCTCGTGGAAGTGGAAGTAATATTTCCCATCTTCTCCCAATCAATGTTTTCCTGTGCACCAATATTTGGCACTTTGGTGGTGACTGCATTAGTGATAGTGGGGAGGGGGTTTGAGATCTGCTCAACTAGCTCAACTAGCTAATATAGGCATACCCCTTCCTCTCCTGTATTGTGTAATGGCAGCCTGCACAACTGTCTTGTAACTTGTTGACCTGAGCCAGTACTATCTTCACGCACAACCTATGAAGTCATACTTTATTCTCCTATATAACTTACATGTGTCCAAGTTCTAGAATCCTGCAATCAAGTGGGATAACAGTTCTGATTACATACAGTAGCTCTGAATATTTTCCTAATACCCTCCTCCCCTCGCAGGATTTACTTCTTAATTTGTGCCTATCATACAATTCCAGCTTCTACTGATCAATAATTCCAGATCCCCTGCTGTCATGCTGACAGGTTGCAAGGAAGTTTTCCTTTGTAGATCCCCCTTCCCCCATGTAAACTCAATCTGCTCCAGCTCATGGTAGCAGGTCAAGCCTATGCACCAACTCCAGGAGGATTCCCTTCTTTCAGCCAGTGCCCCTCTCATCAGCATATCTCAAACAAATTCTTCTTCCCCCTCAGATCCTCTACATTGATTGCTAAACTGCTGGCTAAACAAGGGAAGAAGTCAAAATGAAAACTCATTAATCAAAAATGCTCTGACTGAAGGGATCAGATAAGTTAGAGAAGTAGGATGTGTTGATAGATAAGAATCCAAAGAACAAAATGCGGCTCACAGTCAAAAGTTGCCACCTTCCCAGTCCACATTAGAGAGAGTGGTTAGTAGGAATCTTTCTTCCTGATAGGAATTCCACAGATCATCCTGGCACTTAATTTGTCCTGAAATAAAATATTGGAACAGGTGACCACTTGCTGGTCCTATTATGAGGGCAGAATAGTGACCGACAATTAGAGCAAATAATGCTAATATACTTTTATGTCCCCTTAAAGACTGGAGGAAAGCAAATAAGGGGTTGCCTGCCTGTATCCGTAATATCTTCTAGAGTAGGCTTGTCCAATCTGTGGCCCACGGGCCGCATGCGGCCCAGGTCGCCTCATAATGAGGCCCAGTGCCCACCCCAACCTTCGTGCCAGAGCCAGCGAGGAGGAGGAGGAGAGGCAGGTGCGAGGCAGGGCGAGGCGAGTGCCAGACCAAGCAGCAAGAGAAAAGGCGGGTGCCGTCAGAGCGCCACCTCCTGCTGTTGCCGCTGCCGGCACCGCTGCCACTTCTGCCTCCGCCGCCGCTGCTGCCCCTGCTGCTGCCCCTGCTGCCACCGCCGCTTCTGCCCCCGCCGCCGCTTCTGCCCCCGCCACTGCTGCTGCCCCCGCCGCCACTTCTTCCCCCGCCACCGCTGCTGCTTCTGCCCCCGCCACTGCTTCTGCACCCACCGCCGCCGCCGCTTCTTCCCCCGCCACCGCTGCTGCTTCTGCTGCCCCCACCGCCACTGCCCCCGTGGCAGGGGAAGAAGCGGTGGGGGCAGAAGCAGCAGTGGGGGCAGAAGCAGCAGTGGTGGCGGAGGAAGAAGCGGCGGGGGTGTCAGCGGGGGCAGAAGCAGCAGCGATGGCAGGGGCAGAAGCGGCGGCAGGGGCAGGGGCAGGGGCAGGGGCAGTGGCGGCAGGGGCAGAAGCAGCAGCGATGGCGGGGGAAGAAGCGGCGGCAGGGGCAGAAGTGGCAGCGGCGGCGGGGGAAGAAGCGGCGGGGGCAGAAGCAGCAGCGGTGACGGGGGCAGAAGCGGCGGCGGCGATGGGGGAAGAAGCGGCGGGGGCAGAAGCGGCGGCAGGGGCAGCGGCGGCGGGGGCGGGGGCAGAAGCAGCAGCGGGGGCGGGGGCAGAAGCGGCAGGGGCAGCGGCAGCGGGGGCAGAAGCAGCAGCGGTGGCGGGGGAAGGCTTCTGCCCCTGCCGCCGCTGCTGCTGCTTCTGCCTTCCAGTCCTGCCTCATCCAGCCGGGCCATTTGCAGGAGGAGAGGTAGGCGTGAGGCGGGCGAGCTTTCTCCCCCCCCACTCGCCCCCCCGCAAAATTTGGCCGGAAAATAAACTGTGATAAAAAAAACTGTGATTTAAAAAACGTGATAAAATATAAATAATTTTTAATAAATAATTAATAATAAAAACATCTCACTAATTTCATTTCCAAATAAATTTAATATGTTAACTATGTTTTCTGTGGTTTTTTGGGATGATCAGGTATCGTTACTGTTATTTTATTTTATGTGCGGCCCAAACCAAATTTTCATCTTCTAATGTGGCCCAGGGAAGGTGAAAGGTTGGACACCCCTGTTCTAGAGCAGGGGTCCCCAAACTTGGCATCTTTAAGACTTGTGGACTTCAACTCCCATAATTCCTCAGCCAGCATAGTGCCAAGTTTGAAGACCTCTGTTCTAGTGTCATCCAATCATTGTTATGCCAAAAGGACAATAATGAGGGCAGGCTTTCTGTCACTTCAATAGTGACTCGGTGATGCTATGAAGATACTGCACAATACTAGTGGCAGTGGTGGATTAAGGCTCACTGGTGCCCTAAGCACTGACAAATCTTGGTGCCCCACACCCTCCTTTGTACATACTGTACAAATGAAGCCATATTCTCAACTTTGTAGTGCCCTCTTTGGGCCTGGTGTCCTAAACACGTGCTTAGTCTGCTTAATGGTTAGTACACCACTGACTAGAAGGGAAATGGCGTGAGTCTTATGTAAGTGCAGGTCAGGATATCTTTGTTCTTTAAGAGGAAACTTAATAAAAGCCATTCAGCAGAAATAATTTACAAAGATATGGAAAAATCTTGTGCGGAATTGTACTGTGAAGCCATTTAGCCCATAAGAAGTTGAAACTAGAATCTTAGGCAGGAAACACTTTCAGGTCATTTGTTTTGTTTGGGGAGGGTTTTTTTCAGTGAGAAATGACAAAAATGGAAGCTGAACATTTCCAAATATAACTGTTATGTCCTGAGAACTCTAGGAGTTCTCACCCAGGTCCACTCACTTGCGTGGGCGTTCTTCCTTTCACCCATTGGTTGGTTCTCCCCAGCAGCCAACTATAAAAGCAGGCTGCGGGGTCCCACCAGTTGCTGATTGCTGCGAGCCAGTTCCAGGCGTGGCAAGCACGGTCAGCCCTTTATTGTTTCAATAAAGTATTCGTTGCATTCATGCTCTGGTTCAGCCTCTCTTTTCCCAAACTTAACAATAACCATGACATTTCTTTTTTTAAATTCAATATGAAGAATGTTCGGCTGGTCCTACGTCTGATTTTTCTTTTACAGAACCTCCCCAATTCACCAAGGAACCAGAAAGACACATTACAGCTGAGATGGAGAAAGTAGTACAGATTCCATGCCAAGCTAAAGGTAATTTCCTGCATTTCATTAGGGATTGTTTGGATCAATTTAGTTTTGTATCAGAATAGTTAACCTTACAATCATAGCCATCCATGACATTGATAAATGACCATTTCTATTATATCTACATTTGGGAGATTTTATGTAGTGAAATGAATGAAGAAAGCGTTCAGATATTCACCATTCACATGTAGGTAAAAATATATGCATGAGCACATTTCTGTTCCCATTGAGCTGCAGCGAAAACCATGAAAAGACTAAGTAGGATGCACTGATATGTGCTTAATGTATGGGCCAATGTTTTTCAATCATGATGACTTTAAAATATATGGTCTTCAACCTTCAGAATTCCTCATCCAGCAAGCTGGATGGTGGCTTCAGGGAGTTGAAGTCCACAAATCTGAAAGTTACTAAGGTTGAAAAACATTGCTCTACTTCAAGATAGGGGGACTATGCTTAACAGCAGCCTTATTTGCAGTAGCATCAAAGACATCACTCCTTAAGCTTTCCGTGAAAAAAAGCAGAGAATTTGAAGACTTGTGAAAAGGAAACTGTTATCTTAAACTGCAAGCTAGGGGCCTGATTTTAAGTTGTAGCAAACATTTTCTCTGAATCAAGGTTTTCCTTTGTGTTGTTGTTTGAAGTCCTAAAAGTTTTATGGGAGCTTCTGTTTGTTGGTATATTTGACATATCAAAGTATATTGTCCCTCCATAGATAATTGTAGCAGCAGGGCCAAAGTTTTGGATAAAAGGTGGGAGGTCCCTAATTTTCTCCTTCCAAAAGTTACCTACTTTTTATATTCCCTGGCTTGGCCCCCCTGTTTGATGTAGCTGCTTGGTAGTTTTAGCTGCTATCACTTGTCCATTTGGGGCAGTGGTGGTATTCTACCAGTTCGGCCCAGTTCGGCCTAACTGGTACTCCGAGGATCATCTGTGAGAGAAAAGGTTTGCTCTGATGATCAGCTGCTGGGCCCTCCCACCCTGGTTCTATACTGACCTTTATTTCCTGGTTTTGAAGCTCAGCTGTTTCATGTGGCACAGTAGATTGCCGCATGTCAGCTGTTGAAGAGACAGGGAGAGTGCAGGATTGCAGGAGAAAGTCAGTATCAAGCCCTCTGCACGTGTGCAAAGCACGCATATGCACAAAAAGCACATCCACCAAGCCACGCCCACGGAACCGGTGGGTGGTAAAAAAAAGTTGAATCCCACCACTGATTTGAGGGAAGTTCTTGTCAAATATCCTTCCCCTTTAACCCTAGAAGGGGAGTAAGAAGGGAGGGGCAGAGGTGGTATTCAGCAGGTTCTGACCAATTCTGGAGAACTAGTAGTGGAAATTTTGAGTAGTTTGGAGAACCAGTGTTAACCATCCCCTAGGAGTGGGCAGGGAATGGAGATTTTGCAATATCCTTCCCCTGCCATGCCCTCCAAGCCACACCCACCAAGCCACACCCACCAAGCCATGCAATGCCCAAAGAACCAGTAGTAAAAAAGTAGTAAAAAATTTTGAATCCCACCACTGGGTGTGGGGGTGGAATCACTCACATCCTTCAGCTTGACTTGCCAGTAGAAAAGGGAAAAGATGATGAAAGTTAAGTAAATTCTACAGGGTCTCTTCTTGATCCTTGTAGCTTTGAGGCATATGCTGTGGAAATCAGCTCCCTTCTCTTGGGAGTTGGATCAAAAGCACCTTCTATAATTCAAAATCAAAATTCATTAAAAATAGGAAAGAATTAAAAGGACCTACTTTTTAATTTGAGGTGACCACCAGTACATACATACATTTATTTACATAGGATGGTTGCTAAGACAAATACAATAAAATTAAGATATAACAGTCATCCAAGACAAATGTTTATTCTGTCTAGCACACACATTCGATTCAAACCATGGTCTAATTATAAGTTGTTCCTGGCTAAATGTATTACCTATACCTTAGAGTTGAAGAATCCATCCAGCAAACAATCCCTTGCTTAGTTTTCCTTGATATGTTAAATCTTATAAATTGCAATCACAATTGAGATCAGTTTTAACATTGGTTTCATTTTTTTTTCTTCCCTTTTCCCAATGATTTTGTGGCTGAAACAGATTTCCCCATTTGAGTTATTCCTGGATCACATTATCAGATGATCCCTGAGGATACCAGCTGTTCTTCTTCCCATTTCTCTGGAGATCACTTTTCATCTTTCAGGGCTTGGATTTAAAAATGACTGAGATTTTTTTTCTTTTTTGTTGGGGGGGGGTCCCTTCCTGTATACAGTGGCAGATTATACGTTTTTCTCTCTGATAATGTAGATTCAAACCCAGAGAGTTTAATGTGGATTTCCTGACTTGGGTGCAGCTGTCAATTTCATTGTTACTGGGTGACAACACAAGGTGGTATACTTTTTTTAAAAAGATAATAAAATAAGAAAGAACCACAATAAATAAGAGCAATAAAGTAAAAAAAAAAACAGCAATAAAAATCAACTATCAGAATAAAATGCCATTTTCATCTTTTCTTAGATGGCTGAAAAAAATATAAAATAATAAATATATAAAAAATATAAAATTTAGAAAGTTTTAAGCGGGAAGAGAATTCCACGAGAGGCCCTGTTTTTGCTTGCCCCATCTTAGATGGCAAGTGTAGAAAGATCTCTGTGCATAGACAGTTCCGGGAACAATTCTTTAAGATATCTTTAAAACAGTGTGGCAAGTATTTCACTGCCTTTTCTGTATTTCAGCACAAACGATAACATTAGACCTCCTCTTAAAGCACAATGAACATTCTGATTTTATTGTTGAATTCTTTAAACAAGACCCTGTTTCCCTGATTATTAAATCAGATTTGAAGCAAATCTCAAATTTTTGTAGAAGGAGGAAGGAATAAAGCAGAGGTCTCATTCTTGCAGCGCGGGGGCCAATTGCGGCCCGCAGGACAATATCCTGTGGCCCCCACCGTGATATGAAAGTATAATATTAGTGCGGCATTTGAGGATATTTTTTTAACAAACATTTTTGTGGAATCCCTTATGAGGCCCAGCCTCACCCAGCCTCTGCCTCCAGCGGCCCCCAGGTAAATTGAGTTTGAGACAGCTGGAATAAAGCAAGCTTGTCTAATTTCATTTTTACCTTCATTCAGTTTGATCAATGAGTGCCACAGGGTTTCTTTTTTTCTTGAAGTCCACCCCAACTCTGATGGGTTCTGAAGAATTCAAAGATAGGTTTTAATGTCTCCCGACAGTGATTAAGAAAGGTTTTCAGAAGGGAAGCTACATATATTGGTTAAATAAAGATGAGAAGGAGGAGAAGCATGCATTCATCAGAATCCAGCCATATGCAAGCAATTCACAAATAAAGCCATATGTGTTTAGGAGTTCAGTATCGTTATTCCAGTAACTGCCTAATGGATTTCTCTGTGGCCTTTCTGTCTGCGTGTCGGCCTTAATTTTAAAATAATTCATCTTTAAAATTCCCCTTTTCTCTCTCACCGATATTGCAGGTGTGCCTCCACCCAGCATGTTCTGGTACAAGGATGCAGTACTACTTGGAATGGAGAAGCTTGCCCGCTTCAAGCTGCTTGCTAACGGGAGCCTGCAGATCAGTGGCCTAATGCCAGACGATACAGGCATGTTCCAGTGTTTTGCCCGCAATGCTGCTGGCGAGGTGCAGTCTTCCACATACTTGGCCGTCACTAGTAAGTGTCAGCAAGTTCATTTCTCCTAAATTGCTTTGCTGGTTGTCACCTATTCTCTGCAGTAGCTACCACTCGTGGTGTTGTGGCCCGTCAGCTGCCGGCAGAGCTAGCAGCAGAGTCAGACGAGAAGGAGGAAATGGAAGTAGAGGGGGAGCCTGAGCCAGCTTCAGAGCCTTTGGCCTCCCCCAGGTGGAGAGGCAGCCGTCTTCAGGGCCTGAGCTGAGTGAGGGGGAGGAACAGATGGAGCCCAACCCACATGTGCATATGCGTAGAGAGGAAAAGAGAGGAGAGCAAAGGAACAGAATAAGCCGGCTCTCAGGGAGAAGCAGGCGCAAATGATAGCCAGCCCCTCCCTGACAGGGAAATAAATAGTAGGTGTTTGGGAGTGGTCAGTCGTTTCAGACAAACGTTTGTTTCTAGTATACAACAAGCAATTATGTTTGATTTTTTGTTTATCCATGTGAATAAAAGACTGTTATTGCCCTGTTATAAAAAGGGGGCTAAGACTAAACATCTCAGCCCTACTTGCGAAGGCTGGTTCAGAACAAGTGGTGCTTGGTGGGAAAATATGAGTGATTAATCGTCAGGCACATGTGCGCACATTTGGCTCAATAGTGTTGATGTATTCATCGAATAACAAAGTTGGAAATGGCTATTGATTATTATTTTATCTGTATTAAATAAGTTGTAAAATGTGATTAGAAAGAGGATATGTTTTAAACATAATAGTGGTAAAATTAAAAATTAGAAAGGGAACAAATAATGGAAGATTATAACTCAATATGAATTGGGTTATATTGAATATTATTATTATTATTATTATTATTATTATCACATAAATCTGTTAAACACTACAAATATGATTAATAATATTCTACCTGTAGGAAAAGAAGGATATTTAGAATATGGAGATCGACATAAAAATAAGATACTGAAATGGTGAATAATCAAATTAATATGTGTATTAATATGAAAATTTATAAGATTGTCAACTGTATTGAATATGAACAAAATTGTCATATTTGTTTTAAAATGCAAGACACCCTGGTACCACACTGTTCATACAGTGGTAAGTTTGTAAATAAGAAAAAAATAAAAATTATACCAAAAAAAAAAGTTGGAAAGGACCTTGAAGGAATTCTAGTCCTGCTCAAACAGAAGACCCAGGAGATTAAAGCCAAGAAAGGAAATAAAATATAGGAAGTGAATGCTGTTTTGTAGAGCAGGGTTCATCTTCAAGGAAGAGCAAGATGTCTTTGGAGAGCAGAATGGGAATTTTATAAATAGCAGGTTCTCCCTCTGTTTCACTGAGAGATGATTTCCACAACGCAAAGCATAGCATGATATCCATTATTAAACCTGAGCCAAAATGGCCCAGTGACCTTACATGGGGTAAGGTCTTTTGAATTACTTCATTTCTGTTCAAGTATGGTGGGCTTTGGAGTGGGGTGTCAGGGAAATAAAATTCAGTGTTGTGTTGCATTAAGAGTTTGAGGGGCTGCCACAGAGAGGAAGGGGTCAAGCTATTTATCAAAGCACCTGAAGGCCAGACAAGGAATAATGGATGGAAACTGAACAAGGAGAGATTCAACCTGGAAATAAGGAGAAATTTTCTAACAGTGAGAGCAATCAACCAATGGAACAGCTTGCCCTCAGAAGTTGTGGGAGTGTCATCACTTGAAGCTTTCAAGAAAAGATTGGACTGCCATTTGTCAGAAATGGTGTAGGGTCCCCGCTTGGGCAGGAGGTTGGACTAGGTGACCTACAAGGTCCCTTCCAACTCTGATTATCTGTTATCTGAGTTCTTGTAGTTCAAAACTCTTCCTATAAGTATTCTTCTCATCTCTCCCTCATTTATAGGCATTGCGCCCAACATAACCAGAGGGCCCTTGGACAGCACGGTGATTGATGGAATGGCTGTGGTTCTCAGCTGTGAGACGTCTGGAGCTCCCAGACCAGCTATCACCTGGCAGAAAGGTAATGGTGAATTGGGAAACTATTCATGCTTTGGAAACACAGGAATCAGGCACACAAGAAACTAAGATGGCAGAGCTACGTATTTTGCAAGAAGGGTTGAAGCATCAGGTTTTGAAACTTGATTTCTTTTCGCACGATAGAAAGTCTCCTTTTTTTCTCACTCCCTCTGAACTCCTTTGCGTGGCCTCAAATGTGTGAACAAATTTTGGGAATTTATTTTATATTTGTTCATTAGATTTTTTTTGATGCTGCCTTTATTACTTTATAAGTACATCGAGGTGGCAAACATACCCAATATACCTTCTTCCTCCTATTTTCCCCACAATAATAATCCTGTGAGATGAACTGGACTGAGAGAAAGTAACTGGACCCAGCCAGCTTTCATGCCTAAGGCAGGATTAGAAATCACAATCTCCTGGTTTCTAGGCCAGTACATTCATGTATACCAAAGAGGATCTATTTCTGTGAAAGATGTGAAGGATACAACTAAACACCAGTAAAATTGTGATGGGAAAGTCCACTCGTTGAACTGGGCTGGAATGACCCATGGATTTGTTTTTTCTTAACAACTTCATAGCCTCACTGAATGTAAAACAACTCTATGTTTTTTAAAGTTACTGAGTTCCCTTTAGTATGACCCTTACAGGGTTCCTTTGATCAGGTACCCTAGGGTATTATATCTCCTGTATCTACAACCAAATATTTAATCCTACCTGGAGCATATTGCTTTAGATCAGAGAGTGTATTTCAGAAATATTAGCCCTACAATAAGATGCCTCTGGGATAAGAAGATAAAGAATTAGAACTGCAAGCAAGGGAGATTACATTTCAAATCATAGGAAGAACTAGGGCTAAGCCATTAACAAATTATGACCCCCCTACTCCCCTACTCCCCCTACTCCCATTTAAAGCCTGCTGATGGGGTGGGATTAACTGGGGAAGAAAGATTTAGTCTGAGGGTATTAGAGGTATAGAAATGAATAAATGATCAATGAGTAGCTTGAAAGAACGGGGAAAAAAAAGCAGGCAATCCAGATATTTATGATAGATCCAACCCACTTGACCAAATGTGTAATGGGTACGGGAATTATAGTCCAAAATACCTGAAGAGCATTGTTCTCCTTTCCTGCAAAAGATGAGAAGACTTCCTACCCACCTAAAATCCAGCCCTGTGCTTCCAGGCAACTCAAACTTTTACTTTTATATCTCCCTCAGTTGCACAGGAAAAGTTTGTGCTCCTTTGCTTTATTCTGCAAATTTACATTCCAAGAAGTGTCACCAGCCGAGCCCGTATTTTATGATATGTTCTAAAGCCAACATTTCCTCTTTGAGGCCCTTTGAATTCATAAATCATAGGTAGGTTGAAGCTCATCCACACAGAGGAAGAAGAAACAGTTGACAAATCTGCCAATCATTTCCTCTGTGCCTGGCTGGGCTGCTAGGTTTACAGATCTCTAGCGCTGAGATCAGAACTGGTGATTTGACAAAATCCATGGGCAGCCTCGACGAGAGTCACCACTCACCACGCAATGAAGTCTCCCTTTTCTCCTGCAGGTGAAAGGATCCTGGCCAGTGGCTCAGTACAGCTTCCTCGATTTACATTGCTAGAGTCAGGAAGCCTCCTCATCAGCCCTTCACGGATCTCAGACGCTGGCAGCTACATTTGCCTGGCTACTAACTCGCGTGGAGTTGATGAAGCTTCTGCAGAGCTTATTGTCTGGGGTAAAAGTCTCCCCATTGCCCTCTTATTAGCTTCCTTCTTCTTTCTCTTGGGAACCCCATGCCTGTAATTTGTTTTGTTTTTAATCTCCCAGAATCCTTACATTTATACTTTCCCAGATTTTATGTCAAGCCGCCTAATAATGCCAGACTTATTTCCCAATTAATGCTATAGGAAACTAAGGAAAATTGAAAGTAGTAATCCTCCCATTTAGGTCGAGTGCGTTTTAGTGCACTTTAAAGTTAAAAATCCCCCCCATAGGACAGCGAAAATGGAGGAAAGCGACCAAAAGCCCTACTTTCCTTGATAATGTTGAATAACAATAATAATCACTGCTTTGCTCACCACCGTTTTCAGCAGCCGGGAATGGGGGAGAGTCAATATCCTGATCTAGCAGAGTTTCCCACATTTGCCTTTGCTTGTTCAGTAAGCAATTGGTCCAGGAGTAATCCCTGATGCAGAGATGTCATGTGTGGTTTGCCTCTCTGGCCAGTTTCTTAATGGCATATTGATGCATTCCTATAAAATGAAGCATGTCATAAAGAATCAAATGATAAGTTTGATCCCACAATGTCATGTTATGGGAACAATCAGCACAATTTCCCTGTTAATCTTTAATGCAACAAAGCACAGATATGCTACCATCTTAGTAGACCATGTGGGTTACAAGTGTCTAATTGTTTTTGAGAGCATATCCATCACCTTTCAAAACCAGTTTTAACTCTGTCTAATAAAGCAATTGCCATTAGCTCTGACACATTCCTGGTTGAGGTGGATTGGTTCCCCCTGCTGGGCATAAATGGAACAGTAAGCTCTGAGAATCTATTTTGTTTATCTGTTTGATGGTTCTCACCCTACCTATATGAAATATGAATGTAGTCTTGCTCGTAAGGTGAATTACCCTATAAAGCCCATTCTATATTAACCTTCCCCACATTCCCTGTTGTAGATCAAAATAATCTCACATCTGGAAGGCATTTTGAACTTCAGTTTCCCTCAGCCTCAGTCAGGATAATTGGCAAGGAACTGTGAGAGCTATAGTGCAAAATATCTGGGACACTTGCTTATTCCTTTCATCAGTGTATACTATAAGCAAGTACAAAGCTCACATTCAATGAAAAAGCCTCCTTTGTAATAACACTTCAGTGATGGGGTTTGTAGCCTGGCTAAATTAAATAGCACAAGTGATCAAGTCAGCTGCTTCATCAGGCAATTGATCTCCCCTCTCTGTGTGGATAGCTCGCTGTTACCAAGCAGTCAGATCAGAGGTGGTATTCAGCAGGTTCTGACCAGTTCTGGAGAACCAATAGCGGAAATTTTGAGTAGTTTGGAGAACCGGCAAATACCACCTCTGATGAGATTTTACAGTGTCCTTCTCCTGCCACGCCCACCAAGCCACACCCACAGAACTAGTAGTTAAAAAAAAAATGAATCCCACCCCTGAGTCAGATAGGAAGTGGCCATTTTCACTGTCCTTCCAGTTGCCATTAAGAAGGCTGGAAAGCTGTCATTTCCTAACATGTTTCCACCCCAGTGGAGTGGAAACACCCAGTTGTTTAACACACCAGTTGTTAAAAATCAACTATGATCTAAACAGAGTCAACTCCTTCCCACATCCCTTTCTATTCTTTATATAGCTACCATTTGCCCAAAGACTTGGTAACAAAAAGGAAAATAACTCCAAGACAGAATGCCAAGAGAAGCCCTTTTCTTCCAAGGCTGCTCTAAACCTATCCTTTTAGTAGCTGGACAGAAAGAGATAACTGCCCCATCTGTAATCTAAATATTTGTAGTTGAAAGGAGATAGTTAACTCCCTCCCTCCACTTTAGATATTGGTACAACAGAGAGAAAACTCTGTCATTTGGTCCAGGTTTTTTTATTATTTTAATTTAATTTTCACATTTCTGTACCGTCCATGTCCCTCACGTGTATTGTGTGAACAGAGTTACCTTGTCTGTAGGAAGGAAGATGGAGGATGGATGGATGGATGTTGCTTGGTTGGAAGCAAGGATCCAATGAAACTGTATTTTCCTTTGTTCTTTCAATGTAGAGCTTGGGTTGCACTAGATAATATATATCAAGCAGTTTGGGGAGGGGAGTAGCTAAGCTAAAAATTGAATTGATGCCCCTTCATTTTAGGCATTCAAAAACAATTGGGGCAGGTGCATTGCTTTTGTTTGCCTGCTTGCTTAATCGTTGGTATTCTGATGTAACAAATCTGGTTTTGGGGGGCCTCCTGCTTCTTATCTTACAAAAAAGATGCCTTTATTACCAGACCTTAAAATTCCAGGTGTTGAGTCCTGAGTTGATATAAGAACTATGTCTGTTCACCTATCCCATTTCGATCTGTGTTCAAACTATATTAATGTGTCTTCTGTCTCTTTATCTGGCAGCCCGGACTCGTATCACCAACCCACCTCAGGATCAAAGTGTCATCAAAGGCACCAAGGCCTCAATGACTTGTGGAGTAACACATGACCCCAATGTGTTAGTTCGGTAGGTGATCATTTCTCATGTGTGTTAAGATGAAGGAAAAACAAGGAAAGAAATGAGAGCCAAGTTTTAAAAACTATCCATTTTTAGAATATTAGTTGAGGATTCTAAAAAAAAAAAAAACCTCGAATGTCCTTGTACTTTAAATTTCAAAACTTATTTTTAAGAAAAAAAAATATTCAGCTTAGAAACAATGCTGGAATTCTGTATATACTGTCGGTGGCTTCCTGAGGAGCATATAAACTCCTGACTAGGGGTTTGCTTATATTTCTCTTGCTGGGAAGGAATAGTTTACTGACCTCAGCTTGTCTGGACATTGCACCTTTCTTCATACAAATTAGCCCCTTTGAAAGGAGACACTCTCTAGCCATCTCTGCAATCTGGGAACAACCAGGACTCCATTTATCTACAATGCTTTTCTAAGATTGATGTTGGAGTCTTACAACATGACAAAGCAAGGAATCTTCTAGACACATCTTTATGCACTTTAAGAACATTTACTGAGGAACATAATGCAAAATACCTACATGCAAATCCATAGGCCTATATTGCCACCTGGTGCTTTGCTTAGTTTTGAAGCTGAGACAAATTGTTGTGTTACACTAGTGAGTGAAAGAAGAACATCATGGTATGCCATCATATTAAGTCATATTGTCAAAATATGGTTTTGTTTTAGCTTAGCATGGTGTGAACCCAGTCCATATGGTTATAGCTTAGAGCAAAGTATGAACTCAACTAGTTGTCACTTATTCTCCAAATTAGGGTTAAACAAATATGTAAACCTATTTGTGAACAATATGCTACATTGTAAGAATGCATACTAAGAGATAACTAACTTCCATAAATATCCATAGGATGGGGTGGGGGGTTGTGTAACATATTAGTATTAGTGTACATGCTAGTACTTGATGAGCAGTCCACCACGTACAGAAGAAGTTGGAGTATTCTAGAAAATAGTTTAGACAAGAACTAGGACTAAAGAATTGGATCATTGCAATCAGATTTGAGACATGATCTGTTTCTAGTTCTTTGCAACGTGGCTTAGGATATCAGGAATCAATCAAAGATTCCAATAGCAATCTGGATAGACTAGGAATAGTTGGCAGGGGCAGAACCTTTATCACCATGCTTGGTTTCTTTTTCCTTAGGTACATGTGGGAGAAGGATGGCACGATTGTGAACACAGAAAACATGCCACGCATGCGTCTGGATACCACTGGCACTTTGCACATTGCCCAGACCTGGTCAGGGGACATTGGCACCTATACATGTCATGTGATATCTGCTGGAGGCAATGACTCTCACAGTGCCCACCTGCGAGTTCGGTAAGACTACCCTTCTTCAATACAGGTATAGAATCTGAAATACCAGGGCTGGGTGTGTTCCCCCAAACTCTTCAGTTATAGCCACCAGAGACCATCCAAAGTAACCTAAGTGTAGCATGATTGAGGGAGAGGACTATGATACACAACATTGAGAGGGGTCATATTAAATGTGTTTTTAACTAATTGTAAAACATAAACGAAATCATACTTTTTGGAACGTGGGCTAGGCATGCTACTCAGAAGCCAAGTACAGCTATCAGATAATGAAAGTGGTGCACTCCTGTCCTAGAAGTGAGGAGCCAACATATTCTGATACACCGATGAACCAGAAACTAGCTAAAGTGTGAGTGAGGCTGCTAGAAGAGATGATCCAAAGTATTCCAGTGCCATACATTCATATTTTACCTTATATCTTGCAAAAATACCATATGAGTCAAATAGCATGCTTTTCTGGCCTTTTAAAATCACTATAATAATGTACTTCCTTATGAGTCATTCTGCAACTCCTAGTTAGACTCAAATTTCTCTCACCATGAACTGATATGCAGTCAGAATGTTAGTTCAGCAGCATAAGAGTAAGTATAATGTGGTACTGTTGCTGTCGACATTTGCACATGTTCTGATACAAAACTCTGCCACGTGTGTGTTCCTTACTGAATCATCATATTATTATCATATTATCAGTAATCATATTATTCATTGTCTAATCATACTCTTTATTATTCAAATGCTTGTCTGCAGCGTTACAGCACATTGCATTGAAGCAACTTTCACACTGCAAACCTGAATATCAATAGCATTTGATTCATTGAATAAGCATAAGCCACTCATCTCTGAAAATCTTGATAGTTGCTCTGCAGAAATTATACAGCACTGTTGGCTGGAAAAATCAAGGGTCTCTAAATATCTCCAGGGCACTTTGTGTATTTCTCCACAAACCTCTTTCCCACTGAATTAACACTGTGATTAAGCAGGGCATTTGTTCCATTATAAACCCCAGCAGTGATAGGCAGTCTAAACTTTCAATGCACAGTGGCTTGGAAGTCTTTTTCTACATAGTTTTTCCTTCCTAATAAATGGCCCTCTACTTTCATAGCTCTCTCTTACGTGAGCTTCTAAAATGGGTTCTTCTATTATCTTCATCAGGCAGCTCCCACATGCACCTGAAAACCCCATTGCCAGGCTAAGTGCTGTAGAGAAACGTGCCATCAACTTGACATGGACCAAGCCCTTTGATGGAAACAGCCCGTTGCTACGTTACATCCTTGAGGTTTCCGAAAACAGTAAGGCATTGCACCATCTTTCTACCATACAATTGCCAGATACAACTTGCCCATGTTCTTATAGTCATGATCCTTTCTCAAAAGTCATGGGGAAAATCCTGGGCGGGACTGTAACGAAATGGATGTTTTGGGAGTCTTAATTTTCTGGAGGACGTCTTGTAGGCAGTAAAATTTGTTGCAATTTGTGGCTTCTTCTTTTAAGTTTTCTCAAGAATTCATTATAGTTTAAAAATACTGCTTATGCCCATTGCCACTGCTAAGCTTACCCAAAGGTGCAGGGTTACCTTGTGTTGAACAGAGGGATTTCCTTTATCCCTGGAAAAACCCTGAGATGGTTTTCCTTCCCTGATCAAACATGCACAGCTTCTTCCCATAGCAATGATCTTTAGGATGCAGCCAGGAGAAGAACCGGATCCTGCCTTTTAAAGAATGGGATACTGTGTAAGATTGAAGGAGGCTTGGAATTTTCTCTGCAGGTACTGGATAATTCTGGATAAAATTTGGTCTGTGGGACCACTACATAAAAGAATCTGCTGAAGGATTAGATAACAACTTTTTTTTTCTTTTAAAGATGGACAGCATGCACTGTGTTGTCATAATTCTTCATAAATAATTTTCCATAGGATTGTGCCTTACTTCTCTTCTCTCTCTCTTTCTCTCCTTCTCTTTCCAGATGCTCCCTGGACAGTTCTTATGGCCAGTGTGGATCCTGAAGTAAATTCAGTACTGGTGAGAGGATTAGTTCCTGCCCGCTCATACCAGTTCCGCCTTTGTGCTGTTAATGATGTGGGCAAAGGCCAGTTCAGCAAGGACACTGAGAGGTGAGTTGCCCATATCTGACATGGGCAGCTGCAGATATAATCACATGCAAAAGTAGAAGGGCTGATCGGATTTTAAGAATGGAAATGTTTTGGTGTATCTCTACTAGGTTCCTTTTTGTAGGAGAAGAAACCAAATACGTGTGAGTGAGCATTGTACTGGCTCACATTCATGTATAGCAATACCTGTGATGGCACCAGGGAACCAGTCTTTAATTAATGTTTAAAGGTGATGCAGAAAGGGGAGCATGATCATGGCAAGACAGCAAGACTTGGATTATTATCAACCGTATGTCCCAGTGTTGTATGATGTACATGCAGAGCCAGATAACTGCTCTCTTTATACTGGTATTAAGATGGGGTTAAAGCAGCTGTCCCCAACCTTTGAGGTTTGGTGGTGTGGCTGGAGAGAGAGGGGAACTGGGCCATGTGAGCGGCATGCTGGTGCACACATGTGCACGCAGCCCTTGCACGAGCGGTGGGCCAGTGCACATGCAGTCCCTTGCACAAGCAGCAGGCTGGTGCATGAATGCCCACCGGCTCACTGCTTTTGGAAGTTGAGCTCACGTGGCCCAAGTCCGAATAGGCCACAGAACATTGGTGGGTCATAGCCTGAGGGTTGGGGACCCCTGGGTTAAAGAATGTTTATGTGAGCAAATGGCTGCGCCATTTTAACGCAGCTCACGCATACACAGGATGGTATTTAGGGCATGCCATGATATGGCTGAGATTGATTTGGCTTCATAAGGACTAAATTTTACAAGTTAAGGTGTGGGTGTTAAGTTAAACTCTGAACCAGCTTTGAAACCTGCCTCCTACATTTTGTCTCCTTCCATAGGTTGTTGCTTCCTGAGGAGCCCCCCACAGCACCTCCACAAAATGTCATTGCCAGCGGCCGCACAAACCAGTCTATCATGATCCAGTGGCAGCCACCACCTGAAAACCACCAGAATGGCATTCTCAAGGGATACATCATTAGGTAGCGGCTAGGTCATCAGAGCAAATAAATCTTCGGAAGCCTTTTTAATCTTTTACCGATGGCTGCAAAATTGGAAAAGCAGTGGCTGCCCACTGGGCTTAACTGTTCCTACAGATGATCTTATTGATTCAGACCTCATCCTGTTGTTGTTCTTTTTCCAGATTTTGCCTGGCTGGTCTGCCAGTTGGCTACCAGTTCAGGAACATTAGTAATGCTGACGTCAACAATCTGCTGCTTGAGGACCTAATCATTTGGACTAATTATGAAATTGAAGTGGCTGCTTACAACAGTGCCGGCTTGGGTGTCTACAGTACCAGAGTCACAGAATGGACTCTCCAGGGTGGTAAGTTATGATACAAAGTCATCCAGGGAAAGAGGAAACCCTACTTTTGTTGGTGAGAGGATTAGTTCCTGCC